GTGTGTGTGTGTGTGTGTGTGTGTGTGTGTGTGTGTGTGTGTGTGTGTGTTTTCAGGAAGGAAGACCTAAGCAAAGACAGACAGACTCACTTGTAATGACAGATAGTGACACAGGTAGGCCTGGACAGCTGCAGGACTCTAAAGCTGAGTTTTGTGTCCTGCTGCTATGGCCCTCCTTAGCTAGCTGTTGATAGAATTTTCTCCTTGCTATCCACATATGGCTTAGTTACTTTGGGCATGCACTTTAAGCCTTATTTTATCTGTGATTTACTGTACTTGTGCTTTGCTTGGAAGTGGACATTGCACAAAGTGATGCTCTATAATGATGGAAAAGATTTCTTCTCTGGGACACCCGCAATGCTCGCCACTTGTGTGTCCTGAGTACAGAGAATGTGCTTAGTGGAACTCCATAGAGGAGTTGCTCATTTCATTCACTATAGTGTGTTAGAATTTAAATAGCAACAGTGGGGTGAGGCCCTACCACAATGAACAGCACAGGATATGCCAGCCATTAAATAATGTTTTGTTGTTGTTTGCTTTTAAAAAACTTTCATGGAGCTATGGTATTTCTGTATTGAGACCCAAAGTTGATATCAGGTATCTTTGTCAATTTTCCCTATGGTTTATTCAGTAAAGTTTCTCAATTGAACCCAGAGCTCACAAATTGGCTGGGGAATCTGAGCTCTTGTCCTCGTATTTTATATGACAAAGCTTTATCTACTGACATGTTCCCCAGCCCTGTCTTTTTAAAAGAGAGTCTTTCTATATTGCCCAGGATGGTCCTGAATCTAGATCCTCCTGCCTCAGCCAACCAAGTGCCAGGACTGCAGACATGGCCTGCAGTGTCTAGCTGTGGAGTGAGTGGCCTGAATAAGAGGAGGCAATGGACCTGGACAGGTGACAACTGCTGAAACAGAATAAGACTTTGATTCACCTGGAAAGCTACTAAGAAAGGCAAAGCAGACTGAGAGGATGGGTCTTTGGTCACAGAACCTTTTAAGGTTGTATTCCCAGACAGATGGTTGGGCCCCTCAGGGTCTCTAGACTTAGAATGAAAGGAGAGCATCAGGGACAACCAGGGATTCAGAACTAAACACAGAAGGTTAGGCCCAAGGAATCTGGCCAGGGGCCCTGTTGAGCCATACAGTCCCATAACAGAAGATGAAGACAGGAAGACAGGACTGGAAAGGAGTCTGCTCCTAGAACCTGCCTTTCAGACCCCAGAATTTCCCTGCACTGTATTTGACATCAACGCTGGAAATCACACTCCCTGGAAGCTGGGAGGAGCTTGCTAAAACCATCTCTAAAGTGTTTCTCCTAAGTCTTGCGGCTTACCCCTGGAGGCTGGGCCTGCAGGACCTCCGCTGCCTCCTCCTCACTCAGACTCAGCTGCAACCATATGGGGTGGGTGTGGAGGAGCCGGTCCAGAATGCTGAGCCTGTTGGAGAGGCTGTCGTAGCCAGAGTCTCGGGGACATGTCTTCCCATCCTTGTCTTCAGAGCAGCCATCATCCTTGTGTCTCACCATGCTAAAAGAAAGAAAAGGACTGGGCTCAAATGCCTGATGCCATCCCCGAAATCTCGCGGGCAGGCCCGTCATAGCACGTGCACCACCCTGGGGTCACCGTCCTCTATCTAGAGGCATTGAGACAGACATGCTTTATTTCATTCTATTCCCATTTTCAAAAACTCCTGTGTAAGAGGAACTTTTGTTCGTCTGCTTCAGGTGTTATCTTGAAGGCTTATTGCCTGTGTCTGCTAACCTAGGCCTAGTCCTAGACGCTTCTAGCCTACTTACAATCTAACCTTTGCCTATAAAGTTTTCAGCCTCTGAGTCTTACTGCTTAATAAGCTCACCCTTTCTAGCTCTTTCTGAGCTCTGGGCTGGCTGGTTGAACTCAGCTGTTCTGGCTCAAACTCTTCTGCGAGCTAACTTATTCAATCTGGCTTTTCTCTCAGCCTTTAAATTGTTCTGCTTGGCCTCAAACTAACTTCAGCAATCTGCTCTAATCTCCTGGCTCCTTCTCATTCTCTGGCTCATTTGGTCTTTACCTGAGTTCTCTCACTATTACTGTCTCTCTATTACTGTCCTGGTAAAACTGCCTCCTCTCTCTCTGCATTGCCCATTAAGTAGCTTCCCTTTTCTCTCTCTTCTCCTGAGAGTTGGGCATATCCTATTCTGTCAAATATTTCTCTAATTAGACATAAGTTTCAAACATGGATGCTTCCTTCTACAAACTAACTTTACCTTCATTGTTTGTGATTAAAGGCATGTACCACCTGAAACTTTTCTATACCTGAAACTTGCTCTATACCAGGCTGGCCTTGAACTCAGATCTACTTGCCTCTGTCTCCTGGATTAAAGGTGTGTTTGTATTCCAGCCAGATCACCCAGATCTAGAAGGCCTTTGGATGTGATTTCTTGCCAGAGCAGCCATATTCTGAATTAAAATTCCTCTACAGTATTTACGGCCACCATAAATGCTGTGGGCCTAGGTTTGTTTGTCTTTGGGCATAAAGTATTTGTTACTTGGAGGCCAGACCTTCAAACTTCAGATGCAGTTAGCCTGAGGTCTCAGTGCTTAAAAGCACTCAGCACAAACACAAGCTCTGTTGCACTTTATAGGCACACACACTTGAGGATATTTGTCCTGTATCTAAATAATTGGTTTTACTTTCTTCTATAACCCTAAGCATTCTTCATCCCCAGCATTATAGATAATAACAATATCATAACTCAGTGGTGCTGTCCTGTTCATAAAATCAAGGTGACATTATTCATAAAAGCCAACAAATGTATATCCTAAAAGCTTTTTATAGTTGGGTGTGGCATGGTGGCACATGCCTTTAATCTCAGCAGTCAGGAGGCAAGGCAGACCTCTGTGAATTCATGGCCAGTCAGGGCTACATAGTGAGACCCTGTCTCAACAACAACAAACAACTAGCCAAAACCCCACAAATAAACCATAAGTATCAAATCATAAACAACAAAAAAGCAACCCAAAAGGTGCCCACTGATAAATGGATAAGCTATATTACTCAGCCACAACGTGGAATGCTGCCACATGGTCAGCCTGGAGAACATCCTGCTAAAAGAGAGGAGCCAGCTGCGTAAGTTCATAGATACTGTGTAGGGGACTAAGGAGCATTGAGCTAAGGCCACAGTATCACCAACTTTATTACACAGGTTCCAAATGAGAAGAGTCCTGGGGAGACTAGGTTGGTTAGTGGCTGACTGAGAGGAAAGGAGAGGGAAATGATCAGCAACAACAAGCAGGTACCAGGTGTCTTTGCAAGTTGTAGTGGTGTGTGGTAATGGCAAGGATTGCACAATGTCATGAATACGCCGAAAACCCCTGAATGATTCATTTTATGGTTTGTGAATCATATCAACAAACAGGCCACATTGCCCTCCTTTGATGCTAATGTTTAATCCTAGGTGAAAAATGAGAAAACTGAGGCCTGGGGATGTATGGAGCTGCTGGACTCTTTGCGAGCACTGTATCATTTCCCCCTTGAGGCACGGCTCTGTAGTTACTATGATGCTGGCTTTCAAGAAGAATCAGGTGTGCTGGTCTAAGCACACAGGCATGTATAATTCCAACACTTGGAAATGGAGGTAGAAGGATCAAGACGTCAAGGTAGCCAGGTGTGGAGCACAGGTTTTTAATCCCAGAAGAGACAGGGGATGTCTTTGAGTTGGAGGCCAGCTTGAGTTCCAGGCCAGCCAAGGCTACAGGTGAGATCATGTTTCAAAAACAAAACACAATACAAGGAAGGAATTAGGAGGTCATATCTTGATCATGGGCACAGGGGGAAGAGTAATGAAATTCTAGTCCAGGGTTGCTTGGCTCTGAGGACTCTCTTCTTCTCTCAGCACTGATACCTTCCCTGGCTCTGTGGAAACAGGTCCACAGTTGGTCTGGAGCAGCCAGCAGGAATGTCAGGCCTGATCCTTGTGTCCAAAAGCACAGACTTAGTGTACGGTACATTCAGTCATCAAGCACATCCAGGGTGTGTCCTGGACAAAGCCTCAAGACTGGGAAGGATAGGAGAGGGGAGGACTGCAGAATGAGATTGTCCATGTGCACGATGCCAGTCCTAAGAGACAGCCAACCTGTGATGGCCACCTCTGTTACTCATGGAGGCAGAATGAGAACACCAGGATGGTCAGGGACCCCCACCCCATCCCTTACACCAGTGTCTTGGTTTTATACAGACCTAAACAGCCTCTTGTTTCACTTATCTTCTAGATGCATACCCAAAGCACCAGTTATGCTAGAGGATGAAGCAGAAGAATCACTTGAACCCAAGAACGTCAAGGGCAGCCAGGGCAAGCCTGTGAGATCCCAGCTTACACAGAATCAAAGAGAGGTCCTGTTTGTTGTGCTTTTACTTTTGCTCAAACATGCGAAAGTTTTCTTTGAATTTTGCTGCCAGTTTTCAGAAAGAGGTGTCAAAATAAGGAAAGTTGTCCTTTCTGCAAAAGCCACCACAGTCCCTCTGGGTGTTCTAAACTGACTATTGAGAGAGGAAAGAACAAACTCTTCCAAGGGGAGCTGGAGCTAAGATTCTATCACACAGGTGAGACAACACTGCCTCTCCACTCTGGCTGTCTACAAGAACCATCCCAGCAACTTGAAGAGTCAGTGGTGACTCTGCCCTTCAGATCAAGTCAACAATCTGAGGCAGGATGTGCAGATGAGAATGCAGGGAATCCCAGATGGAGCCACATTTAAAGACTCCATAGCTTGCCAAATCTGTGAGCCTGTGTGGGAACCCTCTGGGGACTGGTAAAGCCACAGACTCCTGGTTTCGATCCTGATTCTGTAAGTTCTGGTAGACCAGAGCTGCTGCAGTTCTCCCAAGCTCTGAGGAAAACAGATCCCGTCCATTGGAGGACTTTGCTGTGTGGACCATTTGGCTGGAGAGGTAAGTAGGAAATGTTAACTTTGGGTTCTGATCACTTGGCTCTTTGCTTTTGTTAGGGGGCTGGAGGAGGGGAGTGGTAACACACTACTTAAAAAATGTAAATATTTCAGAGTCGGGAGGTACGGCAGTATAGCATTTGCCTAGCATATTCAACCCTCAGTTGGCTCCTCAGCACGTCAAACCAAACCAAACCAAACCAAACCAAACCAAACCAAACCAAACCAAAAACAATAGTCCAACATTTCCCACCAACATCAATTTGCCATATTTTATCAAGTCCAGAATTAACAGTGTCTAACAAAATGGTGCTCCTCCCATGTGTGTCCAGTAAGAAGGCATTTTGTATCTCCCTAGAAGGCCATCTCCCACAACTCTTCCCCAGTTTGAAGGTGCTTTTCTTTTTTTTTTTTTTTTTAATGCTCTTTGTTCTGATGATTAGCCTCAGCCTAAGCAGCCAGAGCCCAGACAGGAAGATGGTGAGTAAGATTCGTGGAGCCTTGTAAAGAAGAAACCATAAATTAGACCTTGCAATTAGTCTTTGGTATTGACTTGATCCAGCCAGCCATGTGAGGTTTATAGTGTATTATTACAGGGCCAAGTGGCTTTTATCAGGGATAATCTTCAGGAAAGAGCTGATGGATGAAATATGGACTGTCAGTTGTGTGCTCTCTCCCCACAGAGCCCCCTTTCCAGAACAGGAGCCCACACCCTGGTCATTAAGGGCACTGCCTGCCAGCAGCTTAGAGACTCCTCATTCTCCTGGAAATGCCTGAGAGATACTCTTACCCCAGAGGTTCTCAACCTTCCTAACCTCGAGACCCTCATGCTGTGGTGAGCCCAACCATGAAGTTATTTTATTGCTACTTCATAATTGTAGTTTTGCTACTGTTGTGAACTGTAATGTAAATATCCAATATTCAGGATATCTGATATGCAACCTCCAAAGAGGTCATGTCCCACAGGTTGAGAGCTGCTGTGCTCTCTCCCTGGAAAGCAACTATTGCTCATGACATACCCATGTGGCTGGAGAAGGTAGCCGCCTTCTCATCTCAAGGTGGGGCATCTCTGGAGTAAAATTTAGAGACCACACTTTTTTTTTCTTTTTGCCTTGCTTCCTTGCCTCTCTCCACAAACCATCTGCACAAGAATCCCTGCATCAGGCTCTGCTTCTAGGGAACTCTCCCTACGACAGACCCATCTGAGAGTAGCAGAAACCAGTGGTGTTTCTATGTAAATGAGTGCTGACGAAGACTGGGTGTCTCAGAAAGGTAATAAGGTGTCCCATGATGCAATCCAGGCATTTATAATAATGACAATGGTCACAGTGGGGTGTCCCAAGGGCCAGCCTCAAGGGTGGAAGCATGATGTCTGTCTCATGTGAGACCTTGACCAGCTCCCTTTCTGAGCTTCATTTTTTCTCATTTGTAAAGGGCACCTCAAACACCAGGTGGTGACTACGCCTTAAGGATCACTTGCCTGAGAGCAAGCAAGGATTGTGACTGTGTTGCTAAGTCCAATAGGTAAAAGACCATAAGGAACGAAGAAGGTCCATGGCAGCACAGAAGGGTTTAAATGCAAAAGGAAATAAAAGGAGCAA